GAGAGAGAGAGAGAGAGAGAGAGAGAGAGTGTGTATGTATATTATACACAGCCTGTAAATCATATTAAGCTTGACTAATTAATATGCATCAGCTTTACAAGTATACTAAGCTTTATTACGTTTCATACGTTTTTTTTTATAATATAAACACATTCGCGAACGCTAACATGCTACATACGAAACGTAATACTATATCAGTAGTTGCGATTGTATTAAGCGCATAATGTTCGTAATCGAATACTTTATCACAATAGGCCTCGTCAACTTCCCACGCGGCAAATTTGTTTTTTTTGTAGGTTCGCTGCCAAGGATGACGATGCTTAACCAGTCTTAAGTTTCGCGGGAGCCAAAAGATAAGAGCGCCCTCCAATATATCTCCTGTACCGCAAACGGGGTCTGCGGGGGAACAATAATGACAAACGCCATATAGGCACGTGTTGTTACCCTCCTGATACATAGTCGCGTATAATGCTGGCGTCGCGTGGTTGCAAATCTCCTTCAGATCAACTGCAAAAATATAGCCGCTACTTTTGATTAAAAAGCTGACGAAAAATGAAGAAGATTGCGAGATGATCGCACGCGATAATGGACCAATGCTCTTTAGTGTTAATAGTTTCAAAATGGTTCTTTGCAAAATAGTAGAAAAGAAACCTTCTTGTTAACCTAATCTACAAACGCGCGTGTCGCTCATCAAAACTCATCTGTCGTATCGCGTGTGATCATTCAGTAATCTTCTTTAATTAATAACTAAAAATTTTGGTTGTTTGATAGAGGAATTTCGTGCTTAGCTTGATCTGATCTACATGTACATGCAAGGTATAGGACGCGCCAGACGCTCTGTACATGTACTGTTATTACAAATTGAACAGATCCCTTGTCAAATCTCACTGTCTTGCTCGACTTTAACGTACGTTTTCTTATTACGGCAAGAGGTACCCTTCGCAGTGCCAGCAAAGATGACAAATGGAAGGCCACCACCTCGGCGTTGTGTCGATCCTTGCCGTAATACACCGGCCCATGTATCACGGTGTCTCTTGAGTACCATTGCGGCTTGAACAGTGCCCTCACACCATTCTCCAGGTTCAGCATCAGCTTGAGTTGAGTGCCCAATGGAGCATTATCAGCGCGAACCACCTCAGATCGTCGCAAAATATCCAAAATAGTGCCCAACTCTGGAGCTGCCGGTGGAATCAACTGATGGGCATCAGGCCACTATGCACCATAAGATATAACAAATAAACTTATTCTTTATTCTCAACTATTAATACGTCGAAAGATGAGAATTTCATGGGGAAACTTGACGTCCTAGAAATACTCTGCATTTACAGTTGATTGCACAATTTGTTTTGTTTCGGAGGAAGAATGACTTGGTCCGTGGTTACACCATTTACTAAAATTACCTGGCACAGAGATTTTGATTGAAAAATTCTAAGATTCATTCTGGATGCAAAAGCTTTAAGAAAATTGTTTCGACTAACATTATTATTTGGAATATTCCAAATGTCTTCCTGGACATTTGGCATTATTCTCAGCTCGGCCATCAGCCGCTCCAAGACAAGGCTGTAACTGGTATTTTGCTTGAAGTATTTGGATGGTAGTGTACGAATTTCTTCCCTGATCCTCTCGCTCATGTCTTTAATGATAGGCCTCAGTCGCAATTGTGAATCTCTTTGAATGAGCTGCGAGGATGTAGTGAGATCCTGCCTGACCTTTGGTACAGACACTGGTAGGTCCTTGGAGTAAGTTTTCTGCGAAGAACTCTCGACGATCGTTCGGATGAAATATATGTTTACACTGAGAACCAAGATCAGCAGGGTGCCGAGGGCGAAAAGAGCACAACGTCGACCAATCATTTATGATTGTTGCGGATGCTAGGTTAGGCACAAAATTATCATACTACGCGTCCGATCGAGGCTGACTAGTATACGCGTTAAACATTGCACAAAGACGTCATTGCGCAAAGCAGGCATCTAACTGAAAATTGACTAAAAATTGACGCGTTTTTCAAACCAGTATCTTGCCGATCTAACAATCATTGTGACTTATACATCAGCATCGGTACAAATATAATTGGAAATACAATAGTATCTCTGCTATAGTCAACAGTGTTTTTCCCACTGTAGTCAGGTCGTAATCATAGCACACTAGAGTGTGATCTAACCACTCGATTTTTGGTGCCGAGAAAACTCGAACCATTCGTCGCAACAAACACCGGTGACTACATTAAATATCGGACTATCGTTTCACCTTACAGCGACTGATCACGTGTCTGCTGTCACCTGGCGACGCGTATTTTTCTCATCATTTGGCGAACTGTCATACTCGCGTGAAAGGTAAGCCTGAAAACGGCCATGTACATGCGCCCGCGATTTAATCCGTGATGTTTCGGCGTGCCCTTTAAAAAGCGTCAGAAGGACCGACAACTTTGGACCGATTGGTCTTCGTTTGTAGCCAATGAGAAATTTCGTATTAAATTCTAGATCAATGCAATACACAGCTTTAGCCACTGAAATATATACTACCTGGAACGCGCGCTACCTCTTGAGTATTGTGAGATGAGAGAGAGCATGCTTATAGGTCTCGAACAGCGCTCTGTCTTTGTCTAGTACAGTCTGAACCAAAAGCTAAGTCGGCTGATATCTAAACATAAGCTAAATCTTCGAATTAGGAACCATCTTTGCTTTGTTTTTCTTAATAATATGTCGATAAGTGAATACTAATAAATGAGAAAAAATATTTTTTTTTATATCTTAAACTTTCGTTTATAAGCTTAAGTTATTGCCATTCAGTGGTCACTGCTTTTCACATTATCTCTAACTTTTAACTTGGAATGTATCACATTCTCCCCACTCTCGATTATGCTATGAACTAGACAAGGATAAGAGAGGAAACAAGGAACCTCTCTCTCATCCCGCATGCCTCAAGAGGCAGCGCGCGTTCCAGGTAGTATATATTTCAGTGGTGCCCTTCGCGCGGTCCACTAATCAGTGGTGAGACAGAACAGAGCGGTTGGACGTCTGTCCTTTTCTAACTTACTATTATTTTACGGAAGTGAAACGGGCACGAACCAGGCGCATTTTATCGTTACCACTGCGAAAATGCGCCTAACGAACGTAGGCATACTTTGTTAGATGGCGTCTCGAAAATGCGTCTAACTCTAGCTACCAAATCAAGCTGATGGCCGCTCTCAGGCTTCTCTCGGGTGATAGTCTGTTGTATCTTGTTATTGATTGGTGCATATTTTGAAATCTGAAAGTATATACCAATCAGACACTGCATTGAGCACTCAATAAATATACGCACGCGTTTTTCTTCATTGGTCCATGCCGTCGGCCAATCGGATGCGCTTGGGCGAGTTTCGAATGATTTGGACAGATGGCGCAGCGATGCGTGCCAGCGAGTAGGAGTCGCGCGTTGGTGCAACTCAGTTCAGTTCGTAGACTAGTTAGACGAGCTCCGTTACGTCAGGTGAGAAGAAGCGGTCGCAGCCTCTTCGATCGCGGAGCCTACGCGTTTTCGCGCCGAAGGACGTCGTGAGATTCGCAAAGAGAGGCTAGTGAACATGAGAAGTGTGATTGTGCGTGAGATCGGTATGGGTGCATCGCGACGAGAGCGTTAACGAGCACACGGTAAGTACAATCAGCTTGTCGCGACAAGCGCGCTCCGCGAGAATGTCCGTATCCGAGATTCGTCTGTAATTACTTTCGAGATAGACGCGAAAGCCAGTTGAAGAAAAAAGAAAAACAAGAAAGCGGAATATCGGGCTATCACGACACGGATGTCGAGAGAACGCGCGCGCACGAGGGAGAGAGAGAGAAAAGGAGAGACAGAGAAAGAGAGAGAGAGAGAGAGAGAGAGAGAGAGAGAGAGAGAGAGAGAGAGAGAGAGAGAGAGAG